CCATCTCCCTTTCACTCCTTTCTTGAAAGCTGTTTAGCTCCACAAATTTGTAACCATATACTTCATCTCACCTTTGACTTATAGCTTAGATATTGGATATAGATGAGAGAGACACCTAAAGATCTTTTGTTTTTCTTTTTGGACAAGATCCAAGATGTAGCTTTTTCTAACCACCCACCACGAAACCTTGCAAAGTAAGGGAGATCTGCCCTGCAACTCAACTACATTTGACTTGTGGATCCAATTTTCCCCTCTTCAGAATGATTGAGAATATCTTCTTCTCCAGGAAATTACTGTCTCATTTAGACACTACCCTCCTCTGTATTGCTGCTCCAAGGCCCTCCATTTCCCTATCATTCCAGAGAGCATGGGGAGGGTGGGGAGGGGTGGCAGGGGTATGTGTCAAGTGGAAACCAAGTTTGGTTAACACTATCTATTCATTCACATTTTATACACTTTCTCCCAGGGCTTCTGTTTTGAGTAGGACAACTACCAATACACATCAACAATGCTTTCTTATTTTTCCTCAAAACTTAGTGGCACTAACAATAAAAATCTGACCATTTTTTCGGGACTGGTATTTTGAGAATACCAATTGACATGCTGACAAATACCTTCTTCCTTTGCTACCTATTTTAAACTTAGTTTACAAGTCTGGAGCCTTTGTATTCCAAAAGCACCTACCATAACAGAATCCTAGCATGTAATTAAGATTTCTACGTATTTTTAAAAAGCAAAATATGAAGAATAACCCAGGATGTTGCCACACAACAAGAGTATCTATTGCCAGAGTTTAGTAATTTAGACTTAGGGTTAGCTAGTTTATGTTAAAAGTGAAGACATAGTGTCTTGTGCTCACTAGATCTCATTTTATTTAATTTAAAAGAACTAGGCAATTTCCCCTCCCTCAGCACATAATGCAGATCATGGCTGAAGAGGATCTAAAGTAATGCTACAGCTGCTTAGCTCTTCCCTTGCACTAAGTTCTGCATTCATTTCTGCTCTAGTCTGTATTTCTATTTTATAATGAAACATACAGCCTAGTTATTTATAGGCTTTCTAAGGATTAACTACACACTCATAAGAATAAACCCTCAAGAGGTTAACCTCATCCTCTTAAGCTTCACACAGTACAATCCCAGAGATAGCTGGCAACCACAGCCAAGAGAAAAAAAATAATCCCACATCTTGCTAATCCTTTAGCCAATCACCTCATGCAACAGTGGAGAGGCCTCTCGGAAGCCTACAACTCAATCTGTCTCAAGAGTACTTCAATCCAAAAGATACATATTTCACAGAACCATTAGCAACCCACCTCAAAAGGCAAAATAAGACATACCTGGCTACTCAGTGGTACACTGAAATAGAGTATCTAAAATGCAATGCTAAAAAAGATTCTAGTTTGTTGCTTACATTTCCCGTTCAAATATTTGCATATTCTGCTCATAAAACTACCTGGTTTATTAATTTGAAAGTAAATCTAACAAACTTTGCATTATTTGCATCTAGATAGACCAATTTAACTGTCCCTTATACTTCCTAGCATGAACTTTGAGTACCTTTGATTTTCCAGCCAGATCATATCTCTCTCTCAAAAAAAAAAAAAACCAAACACAAACCACCTTTAAGGTAAACCACGATAATCTATCTAATTCTTTCATACCATGATCTGGATTCTTTCTTAACGTCAAATGTGGACACTGCCTGCAGCTGCAGCAGTGCCAAAGAGTTAACAGGTGCACTTATCTTAAGTCAAAGGTTTCTGTTTTATTATTTATCTAGCAAAACTGCTACGTCACTCAAGTTTAATATAACAAATATTAAATGGTGTCTTATTAAAAAAAATAGCAAGCAGATTGTTTAGCCACACTGCTACTCCATGGCTGGAAGTTAAAGCCTTCAAAAACATGCAAGAAAAGTATAAGGCCAGAGGTATGACTGTTAATAACTAAATATCATCCACAGTTCTTTCCTGAAGTTAAGAATTTTTAATCAACACAGAGGATCAGCACTGCTTACAAGCTCACTGAGTCCAACTATATTACTGTTTTGTTTTTTTTTTTAAATGTGTCAATTTATTCATTCTCTTTTGTAAGTGCTTAATATATACCTGGCTTTTGACTTTGTAGGTAAATTCTCTGAAAAATCTCAGTCCCATGAGACTGTAAAGTCCCTATCCTCACAGTCTGTCCTCTAATAGGCTTCCACCTTTTCAACTGGTGATAAAAAAAAAGTGTAAAATATAGTTCAAAATCATCTTGTATTTCAAAAAGTTGTTCCCACTAATTAAAGGCTTTGTTCCTTCCAGAATTGACATATGGCCCAGCAGCAACAGGAATTGCTCTAACTCAGGCAAGCCAAATGGGGAAACTCCTAAATCATCTACTGTCAGGAAACAATGGCCCATAAAGAGGGAAAGGAAGGGAGGGAAAAATGTCAAACCCCAACAAAAATGCAGATTTTATCTAATCAAGAGAAACTATAAAAGTGAACATCAACTAGGAAAAGTAAACTTTCCTCCTGTCCTCAAAATTTATTGTACATAAGTATCCTCGACAGTATGACGCCACAGCCTACTCGATCGCGTCTTCTACTGTTACAGATTGCTCCAGCCTCTTTGCATTCTGAGAAGAAGTTTCATGATCTTTCATGCTCATAATAGGTGTCTAAACCGTTAAATTACTATTTCTTTTCTTATCTTGAAAGACACTGCACTTTAACAGCATGGCCCTTCCATTGTTCTTTATACTAAGTCGGCTCCCTGAACAATACTGACAGCTGCTATCAAACTGGGCCGTGCTTACTCTCAGTGCAGCTGCTGCTTGTAGGAATAGACAGGCTTCTGATGTGTCCTCCCCTCTGGGGAGAGGGCTTGACACGCTGCGTGCTCAGTGAGGGGGAGCAAAGGTCCACTGAATTGTCAACCCAATTTTATGCTATTCAGATTTTCCAGGATGCACACCGTCCCTTTCAAACAAAATCAAGCATATGTCAGAGCATGAAACTTATTGTGCGGCACAAGATAATTATTGATCATGTAAGACTGTAAAAGACCACTGTGACATACATCTAATTTTAGCATTATGTATATGCATGCATCTACATGGTCAAAGAAATTTTGTGCACAACGTGTGCATTTCTTCATTCAGTTTTGGATTTGTATGGCATCATTCAGAAGTCTCTCAGAAGACACAGGAAAGCATCTCTTCTGGTGAATCTTAGATAATTTAAAACCAAAAAAGTTGGAGGATTCTATTCTTGCTTCCAAAGAGCTTTCCCTCCCCCCCAAAAAAAAGTTCTTAATTGCATGTGATACTTGTAGATCCTATTGCTTTTAAAAGACTATATTGCATAGACTTTAAAAAGAGGTACATGACATGCTTGAGATAACAAAATTTGGTTTGGCTAAGTAGCACTACCCTAAGTCCAGCAAGAAAGTTTTAAAAAATATTTTAATACATAATTCCATTTACTGCATAAAATATTCTTTAAAACTAGTTCCTTAAAAAGGGTTTTCTATTCCATTTTCATCCTAAAGAAGTAATTAATTTAAAAAAAATGCAAGAAAGTACAGTTCTCTCATCTTTGCTAATCAAATACCACAAATGTACATGTGCTGTATTTCAAAGATCAAATCAGGTATTCATAAAGTAATTCATTACACAAGCAAAGCATAGAGGAGATTGTGACAAATACAGATGTAATTGTGTGGGTTTCTAAGATGTGATTAGCAAATCAACTAAGTAACAGTCAAAAATTGATACGAAGGGAAAAAACAGCACAGATTTGAAGGGGGGGTATGTTTATGCAAAGCTAATCTGTCAAGTGTAATAAAGCAGCTTGAATAAAATTTAAGCTTAAAATCCACTGAAGCTCCCCATTTCAGGGAGGAAAAGCTATTAAAAGGAAATGAAGGTCATCCTCCCAGTTTATTTCACCTAATTGACTGCCAATAGCTTACCACAGGCAAACCGACTGCAGATCTGCAATTGAGAAACTGATGAAAGGAGAGTTTTCAAGCTGAGGCTCATTCTTTTAATCCTCCCTCACTCCTATTTTTTTTTTTCCATCTCCAGTTGGGATGTAATTTTAAGCACAGATGGATTAACTGGTTCCATTGTCTGTAGACGTCATTGGACTATGGCACTGTTAATCCGTACAGCAGCATGTCTAATTATCATTACAAAGTGTCTGAGGGAACTATAAAGACCAGCAGGGCATCTTCTCACAAGCAATTAACATAAATTGATAAATGAGTAATTTGAATCCGCTCAAGGCGCTCACATATGAATAAAATCAGAAAGGACGGGTTCTTGTTTCAGCTACTTCAATCACTTAGTCTGGAAGGGCAGAAAACATGAGAAATATTCTAGACTTAGTAGCAGGGGAAATGAACTCATGCAGTGGAAGGAATGTATGGTTCAGAAAGTTCATTAATACAAAGCAAATGACTTGTGATTGACAACCAGTCACAAGCAAATAGTATTAACTTATTTCAGCATATTTAGAAGCACATACTTGGTGAAAGGCTATTAGAACACTGTGTCAGACAATTAATACTACTTCAAAAGCGAGTGAAGTTTCTTTTCAGTAGCTTGCTAATTTAAAATTCATGAAAGATTCACAAGAAAGGAAAAGAAAGAAGAATGAATAGTTGTACAGGCTCCAAGAACTTAAGTGTCACAAAAAGCAAAGGTAACTAGATCAACTGACATACAATACCTACAAATAAACAAGCAACTCTCCTAATCATTATACTTCTTGAAGGAAAAGTTTTGTTACGCACAGCGTTGCTGCACAAAATGATGTTCTGACAAAGTAAACTATTAACTTTATACCTGCTAAAAATCTGTGTGAAGCAAGGCAAACACTTCAGCAACACTGGGAATCAAAACAGTCTTAGATATCAAAACATTAAGCTTATTTTAAAAATAGCAAAGCAGTAAGATATGAAAGCAAGTTATACACACTGTAGGAGGTAGACCTGGAAGGCCACGTACCCCGATGATGGCATTCAGTTCAGCCATGGTCACTTGTTTGGCACGTTCTACAGCTTGGGCCACTTGCTGCTGATGCTATTAAAAGAAGAAAGGGTATGGGGAGGAATTTGTGTTAAGGTATTGACCACACCAAATCAAACCAAGATCACAAACACCTGAATAACCAGTTTGTCTGCAGAAGCCCAGGCTACCTATTGCAAGACATCTTATGAAGGTAAAAGGTAACAGTGCCCTATTTATCACCTGTCCAAAAGCAAACAAGAGCCTTGAAGGCAGCCAGCTCACCTCGTCCCCCATGTCACTTCAATATTAATTTTCTGGCAAATGAATAATCAGTTTCTAATTGAGTTGACAGGACAATAATGTCAACTTCACACTAGCATCAATTTTAACCTTTATATACTGTGCCCACACAGCAAAACATACTGAAATTTCAAACAGGGAAAAGAAGTGCTTCACTGAACTCAACAAGAATTACAAATACTCCTAGTAAATTGTAGAGTTTGAAGCAGCATATCCAAAACAACAGGCTTCAAAATGTAACAGCAGCTGCCCACAATATGCTACAATCACAGTCATTCAGACCAGATGCAGGTTTGTAACCTTAAACAGCATTTTGTACCTGAACTAACTACTCACCTTTTACACTAAAATTTGATACAAATTACGTAGACAAGATAAGCATGCATATTTCACTAGATGCACATTTGACAACTGAATATCAATTTTGTTGCATTGGTAATATTTTATAGACTCCCACTCTCCTCAGGCAATGAATGAGGCTGAGCCATTGTCACTAGTTTGAACTCAGATTTGTTAGACCAAATTAGCAGGGGGTTTGCACACTTCAGCTATAACAGATGTTCCTTACACTTGTGTATTGTGATAAAATTAACATCTTAAAACTAGCTAATTTGCAAACAGAAAAGCAACATAATTGCACTTTAACAGCTGAACAGTTTTACTTACTTCCTGAGACAAAAATGGGATGACTTGTGCACAAATTGTATTCAATCTCTTGGCGATTTCTGTCTATAGAGGAAAAGTATTTTGATTAAAACTGTGGTTTAGGTTTGTTGCCATATATTAACTAGTGTACAGGAGTATATTAAGTTCACACAGTGAAGAAAGTAATAAAAAAATCCACATCTTCATGCTACTGCAAACATACTACTGCAAACATAAATAGTTAATATATAAGCCCCGATGAGGACAGAGATTTAGTTAGCTACTCTAGGACATCTGCCATGTCTAGAGAACCTAATCTGTATACACATTTAGGCACAAATCTGGTCCTTGTACATAGCTCATTAACAAGCAAAGCATTTTTGAAATCCATTAAGTCCAAGATAAAGCCTTTTAAAAGGTAGGTTTACTATTACTCAAATTATCAAGCAGCATAACATGAAGGTGACAGGCATGGAAGAAAAATGTTTCTTTCATGATCAATTTTATCTGCCTATTAGAAGGTAAAATTAGTTTTGCTGACAGAAACACACCATCAGGAGAACAGAAGAAATACCAAAATAGAAGTGAGACAGAATGGAGACAAAAGGTACAGACTTCTAAAACATCCATACTGAGAAAGAATTAAAATAATGCAGACAAGAAAAAGAATCAGATCAGAAAATGTGATAGTCAATAACAGCAAATTAGTGAAACTGTAACAGAACAATAAGGCTAGGAATCAGAGAACAGAACAATCCTTCACTGAAAGCAGCAGAGAAGACAGCAGGATGAATTGTTTGAGTCCCACTTTGACAGTTTTAGGTATCTCCCACTCTCGTACCTCCCACTTTTGGCATGTCAACTTGAACACAGGATTTCTGGTGGGGTACAAGGATCTTTTTCTCTCATTACAGTTTTACCTGTACTTACAGCTTTTCAGACCTATACATCTGCCCACCATTCAGAACAACCATTATAACTAACCCTCAAGGTACTTGCACAACTCCTACAGTTTTTCTTAAAAACATCTCCTACAGTCACTGTAGCATAGTTGTGCAAAACCATAATTAGCGTCCAGATGTGAACATAGCCTACATACAAGACACACTGAACAGCTCTTGTTGGTCTCTGTAGTATCATTAATCCATACAGACATTTCTTGGGAGTTTTGTTCTGTTTTAAGACACAAGAAGCAAGAGATCCCTGCTGAGAATCGTTAGGCCTTCCATGAAATTACATGCATAAACCTGAGCAAAGATAAACTCTTTCAAAGAAGTCAGATGAAAACATTACTAACTCATCTGCTGAGCCTTTCCCTGAGCCTTCCCATCATCCTGAGCTTTTTAGGAAGACACTGCTATGTGCTCTGTATACATCAGTCAAGCAGTAATGAGGATACAAAAACCACCCTCTGCTTTTATGTCTCAGTAGACAGGTGATTTGGGATTTAAATACAACTAGCAATAGCTTTTAACACCTCTTTCCCCACCTCTGACAGAGGCAGGGAAAATACTTGATAGCACTGAGACTTGTAAAACACCAAGTCTGTAAGCTGAAGTACTCCATCTGACCAAACTCTGGCATTTGACACATCTACTCTAAAGTTTTGCAGAGAGAGGAGTCGCTGAAGCAGTTCTAGGATGGTTTCTTCCTAGGACAGAAGGGTACCCCTTAAATAAGGGCAATGAAGTGACAGTCGCTTTACAGCAAACCTTTCTCTCCCTGCAACATGGGGAACAGATCTCTATTCTCAATAGAAACAGCTACCGTTTCACACAGTACCACAGAGGTCTGTTTCTGTTTTGTTTGGGCCATGACCATAAAATATCCATCATTCTGTGCAAGGCCTTCAGTACTGGTACTACATACTTACCAGCAAAGGCAATACAAGGAAGTTACCAGCTTAGCTATTATCAGTTATCAGACTTAACTATTACCAAATCTGTTGGTACTTTCTGTGTCTGTTAACAAGAAAAAAACCCCACACAATTGTGAGAATCTATGTACTAAAGGGCATTTTTCCACATACCCGGTACGTCTCTCCAGAAGGCAAGGTCTGTCAGCTATGGAAAGAAAGTCTGTTACACAGCAAGGTGGTTGGCTGATGTTTAGCTAGGATGTTTAGGGGTCCAAGAAGTCCATTGCTCTAGACCAATGGGATTACTTTTGTTTTCAGGACAGAAGCCAGGATGAATCATAGCAGGTGATAACAGGGGAAAGAAAAAAGCAAAATAAGAAAACCATTCAGTTTCTACTGAAAAGTTCTTTGGCCTGTGTTGCCTACACAAAAGTCTCCCTATTCTGTAATACTGAGATAAGTAGGCTTATTGTAACTATAAGAAAAAAAAATATCTATTTTCAGTAGAGTCTCTAAAACATGCAAGTTGTCCATGTTATTGGGTTTTCCTGCACAGGTCCCAGATATCTGAGCTTCACTGTAATAACACAGCATACAGGACAGCACACCGTAAGACAAAAGAATACAACATCATGAGGTAATTACCAGCCCCAATGCAGGTCAATTAGATTTTTTTTTTTTAATTTTTATTACTTTTTTAAAGAAAGGGGGCATAATCAACTTTCCCCCTTTTCCAGTCAATCTTACTTTAAAATTATTGTCGCAGTACTCTCATACCTGACTTAGTATCAGAACTGAAAAAAATCTATCCCTCTGAGTTTATCTTTACCAAAGCAGAGCATCACTGATGATCCACAGCACTAGATAAAAGTACATGCTGTGATAGGTTAACGGTTGGACTCGATGATCTTAAGGGTCTTTTCCAATCTTAACAATTCTATGATTCTATAAAGAAGTTTATTTTGAGATTTATTGCTGCTGTTACAAGTGCCAGTTAAGAGACATTTACACTGAAAGGAAACTGGAAAGGCTATTCCATACTTCATAACAAAAGTCTGCTTACTTTTAAGAGACAGTTTGCCTACTCGCACTATTTCCCACACACAATTAAATAAAGTACTTAAAATTATTTATCCACTATGAGATCTCATACATCTCCTATTTGCTGCTCTCGAATGTTTAGTAAAAGCTATTCCTATTCACAAACATGTTAAATATTCTTATTCTCTAGTGAGTTGTGAAAGTTAGGTTTTAATGCACAACTGACCTAATCTTGCCCATCAGGAGTTGCAAGAGGTTGTTTTCGGAACTGAGAAAAAAGGAACTTTCATTACTTTAAATATAAATCTAGCTGTTCAAAAGGCAATGTACATTCACCTTTCAAGGTGAAATATCTTTGAGTACATATGCACGTGTGTGTGTGTCTGTATATATATTCACTCTTGAAAGCAAAAACCTTTTTTGATGGAGTCTAGGAGAGCCTCTTTAATCAAGACTAGACATCAGTAAATGGTGGCATTAGAGTAAGCTATATATTCCAGATTTAGGGCTCATACATTTGAAAGTCTTAAAAGAAATGTACGTATCAGTTACATTGGGAGGCCTCTGGAAGTAACAAAGCTATTACCTAACTCTTGATCTTGAGACATGTAGGGCAGTCAGAAGAATAAGTAAATAAAGAAAATTTTGCAGAAAGCTGCTCGAGCATAGACAAACATGACTAATTGCCCATGTTCTTTGGCTCCTTGGTAAAGCAGACTGTAGAAGCCTGCATCTCTCATGAAAGCCCTCCTAGCTCTATGGCAGCTCTTAGCAAAGCATCTGAAGTGCCCTTAATTGTTTGTGTTCTTAATGCAGAGCCTCTTGAATACATTCATTTTTAATAGAGGACTTGAGTGTGGGGCCCATCAAAGAATGGTAAAACTACATCATTCACTGGTTCTTGCTGTTGTAGTGATTGTCTTTTGATGTATTTGCAAATGACAAGCTTGTCAGACCCCTGACTGAAGTGCTACCCTCCTTTCTTAAGTATCATTAAAAATTAACATGAAGGAATTCAGCTGTGTTTTGTAAAATTAAGTTGAGCCGAAGGATTTTTTTTCACTCGTAATTTTTTTGCCTCTGTTCCATCTAATTAAGGACTTAAATGTTTTGACCTAACCGTTGCCAAACTCAAGTGTTTGTACTTAAGTTTGTCTCTTGCTAAAGTGAATTCTTAACATAATGACAAAGAGCAAAGCAGCCAGACTAGTTACTAAATATAATATTCATTTAAATAAGTCATTTTACTAAGCCATTAAGAGATTGTATATACAATTGTAACTTTTTTCCTTCTGCATTGCTAAAAAAAGTGTTGAAGTGTTTTCCTCTACAGTATTTTACTCCAGGTCATTTTGCATTTTGACAGCCTGTACTTTCTAAAGCACTATGTAAGATATCATACTTCAATCAATACGATTTCTTAAACAAGTACAGATTTTTGCACTGGAATGAAAAGAAGAAAGTGTAATACAAGTCTCCAAACTATATTTGTATTTCTCAGCACACCTAACACCCATATATATTTTATCACTAATGCTGGAAGTCCTAGCCTACGGGAGCCACCATTCTCACTTCCGAGTGAACAATGCAACCTTCCTCTGAGGAGAATTAGTTAATCACCTTTCAGCTTCAGAGGTTTCAACAATAATAATTTTGGTTTTGCTCCAATCAGTGTCTACCATACATGTTCCAGTAGTGAACTTAGCTACAGCATCTGTGGTGATCTAAAGCAAAACTTAAATCTTACAACACATTATTTTTAACAATCCATTGTATTGTGACAACTGCTCTATTATTAGTGCTCAGACTCCTTAAAGCTGTCTAGACCTACCTTTACAAAACAATGCTCAGCTAAAAATGTCCATTGTATGTCAGAAGCTTGTTATTCTTTCTTGCAAACCGTGCTTCCTATATCACAAAGTTAGATCAGTATTTCAAACCACTCTATCACCACTTCTTAAGGACAGGCTTATGTATTCTCATTTATTACATTTTTATTTACTTTAGTTATTTCAACCCAATTTTGAGACTCACAGTTGTCATTAGATTGGGAAAAATACAGTTTAAGAACAAGAAAACCCAAAGTTCTGATGATACCAAAAAAAAGCATGTCCTAATCTGTTCCTTTAAAGCAAAAGAATCAGAGAATCAGCCTTTAATGCACAGAAAAGAATATACTGTCAAA